GCTGTTATTTGTTTTGTCTACAATGAAGACGACAGTCCAATCACAGCTGTATAAAGTAAGTATTGAACCTACTTGAGGTGAGTTTCTTTGGCACATTAACACAAATGTTCTGCAAGCAGTGAACTGAGTATTGTGAAAGTCTCTCAAGATTCTTGTTGAAAACTAAAACATTAACAGCCATGATATCCAGTTCGTATTTTATTTGTTAGTCAAGTCAATGATAACAAGCCTTCGTAAACAAACAATGTCAAAATCCGTAAAATTCGATGAAATATATAATTCTGTTAGTATGAAATTTTCTAGATTCTTCTACATCATAACATTACGACCAAACATTTCATAATGTTCAGAGTGGAGTGTTCCCTGAGATATCATTATAGGTGTGGAGCTTTTCAGCACCATGGTGGTGATGTCCTACAAGACATTGAGACGTTTGCCAGCCTAAAGCCATAGCTAAAATATCCACACCTTGAGCTATAAATATTTGCAGCAACACTTCAGAATATTTGGGAACCGAATGGCTCTCACAAGCAGTTCTCGTATTGTACAGTAGTTCTAATCAACCAACAATAGTTTTATGAAGTTTCAGGTTCAGATGTAGAGAAAGATCATAGTAAATTATGATCTAAGGAAAAGAATACCATAAAATGACACATCTTTCCAAAGTACATCAAAATATCAATGTTTACTGCGAATAGTTTAAACATCGTTCATTCAGCTAATTGTACACTTTTTATCCATGCAACTTCACAAAAGATACCAAATTAAAGTATTTCCATGTTAGATTTGTTTATCTTATATATAGCCTACAGCAATGCAGCGTTATTTACTTTATGACGTTTCAAGCATAAATTATTCTTCGTTACCATATCAATGTAATCATATTCCCTTCGATATCTGATTTTTATAGTCGTCACTTCAATATTCTTTGTTCTTAGTGGTAGTAAAATTTTCCATATCTCTGGAATAGATATGGCGTCATTCCTATTACATGTATTGGGTTTAGATTAAATGAAAAAAGGTTCAGTAATCAATCTGTCTCCCCATCTAGTTATATTGGGCTTAATTACAGTGGTGATAGGACTATAAAAACCAGATATCGAAAGGAGTGTTTTCACATTGATATGATAATGAGCAATAATTTATGCTCGAAACATCATCAAGCAAATAATGCTGTGTACCAAATACACAAATCTAATATGGAACTATATTCTACAACAGTGCTCAAGCTTTACAATCAAATTATTTTAAAATGTTTGACTATAAGAATAGTACTGGTGTTTGACTTATCCCCATCATGCTTGATGAAATGTACATGGAGTATCCATTATTTACTAAAAACCTTGCACTTAACAATGGAAATAAAGATGCTTGACAAGGTTGAATGACTCTGAATCAATAAAAATGAAAACAAATATGATGCTTCATTAATTCACAATAATAGGTTTCTATAATATGCTATGCAAACACTGCAAACTTTTTCTTAGGTAGGTTTTAAGTAATGCCCACTCAGTATTATTATCATTTCTCAGTGGTGCTTACTCATAGCATTATAGTGAATAGTACGGCTGAGTTTGTCCGGAATGTTTGTATATCATTTTCTTAACATTTTTTTCCTCAGTATTACGAGTCCAATTGATAGAATTTCGCCTATAAACAAAAATTAGTGAGAATTATTCTTCCTCGTATTCATCCCTAATAGTTTTAAATCATACATTTAAATCCTACTATGAAGATCATATTTCACTGTTATAGAAATAAGTGCCTTTTCACATGTTTTCTCCTTGATACGTTTTCTCTGCCCATGGTTTGCTTAACTTCAACTTTGAATCAAAATAAATTTATCCCATTTTGTAAACCCACCTGCAGTAGTTACTTTGCATAATAATACTAAGGGGTCTCCAACTTGTATAGGTATTCAATACCTTGAAATTTAAGCGATATTATAGATGGAGTCGCGCTTTTGGTCACTTAAAGTCCTCACTTACTGCCAAGGGAGTCAGATTTATTTTTCTAATTTGTCGTATGTAATGTTTTGTCAGTAGTTCTTACTTAATACCTTTTGGACTGTATAGTATTTATCATTGTATAGGCATGGAATGCTGAGAGTAACACTTATCATGAGGAAGTGGTAACTTCTTATAAATAAAACTCCGTAATTATTTTATTTGAGGTTAGCACTATAGCAGTGTTTCAAAAAGTCTTAATTAGAATATTTGCATATTTGTCGACTAAAATATTTATGCAGAATAAAAAGAATGCTTGATTCGATTTATTGTAGGATCTGTATTAGGTGTACAGTAAATACACTTTGTAATCTGCTTTGACGATTGCCTTGTACAGTTTTCAATTGTATCTTTGATAAAGGATTTTATATGAGGAATATTATCACATAAATTTCAGAAGGTACTTCCGTTCAACTTGTTAGTTTTGTTGTTATGTAACTAGACGTTTAGTCAGCAAAAAAATGAATTCATACAAATTCATATAAATAGGTACTGAGTTCATAATCTTCAAACCATCTCTATGCTGCCACACTCAAACCAAGAAACCCTGTATCATACGATAAAAAGTCAAAGAGCATTGAACACCACTATCATGAGTATTTTCTTTCAGACATTTGTATCAGATAAGTATGGAATTTATTCCTGTTTTTTGCATAAGTTCATGTGCTGCGTTTGCACAACTACTCAACAATTAAGTTGTGCTCTAGGATCATAAAATACTCTCTTGAAAGGATTTTTGAATAGTTAGGCGCTGAAGTTTAAATACAACTAGTTGGAAGTTAACTTCCAACTTTCTTTTCCACTTCACAACTAATTCGGGAGTTTTTATTTCATAAGTACTTATATTTTTATAAATGATATAGGAAGTGATATTAAATTTAATCTCTAGATTATGGTGTTGTGTTTTGTTAATTAAATTAGGTTGAAACTGGAACACAATTAGCAGTTGTTTTCTAATATGCAGTGAAATTACCCTGTATGTATAAGTGAAGCTATGTATCTTCGTTATTATTCAACAAGGCCAAAATATGCTTTAACTCACCCAAAAACAAAACAGTGTAAAAGCTTCAATCCCCCCACTCACCCACAGAACAACACCTTGAAGTGTGAAAATAAAACAAATAAAATCTAGTTGAGATACATGCGAAAACATGGAAATAAATTACTTTAAGTAATGACTTTGCGTGACTGAATGATGTGTGATAAAAGAAAACTAGATCAAATCTTCTTTCTCGACATGAAATAGATTGATATCTCTAGGGATTGACCAATAATTTACTCTAATCATATGTAATATTCAATTACGGCTGTTATTATTCCAGTAATTCGTTCAAACTAAACAAATCGTTTCATCAGTAGGTAATAGCAATGACCAAAAACGGTAGGCACTAAAAACCATGAAGTTGAATAAAGTAAATCTGGAAGCCACTTCCTACATAAAAAATAATGATGGGGATAATTTTGATACTTTGACTTAATGAAGTACTGAACTATTTTTGGCTGATGTTAGTATGAAAACTTTAAATTATCGGGCGTTTTTCGGGCTCACGACTTTATACACTGAAAACGTACTAGTGAAATTGAAGTACTTTTGCAAAGTATAAGATAAAAACAAGGTCGAACAGCATCAGTTAAATTACAGGCTATATGAAAGGATTTTCATTTTTGTGGCCATACAATATCATCACCCCTAGTTAGGTTTCACCTATGGGCATGCTGATGCCAATTTGCTCACATTTGTTAAAACAATTCTTAATTAGTCCACTTTTCTATTGTTGGATATCTAGAAGGCACTGATACTAACATAAACACCATCTCACTGGTATTTCCTGTAATGAATGTGCCTTATATTTTTTACTGCTTGCATTCATTTCCAGTTGGAGTCGGTTGGTTTATACACAAAATCCTCCTACGAATTTTTTAGCCTGATTTTTTGTTCTTGAAGTTCTACTGTTAGTCAGTATCTCATGAAAAACTTTAAATTGAGGCGTTTCCATATAATGTTTCTCTGTTTGGCTATCTTAGTGTAACCAACATTTTTGAGAACGTTAGTGTGGATGCCTTTGATTTATTTTAAGTGAACAAAGTCAAATAATAAGTGGTATGTTTACTTCAGCATAACTTTTCGAATAAAGCAAGAAGAACAATATTAGCAGAATTAATATGCTTGTATTTCGTAGATTCTCCTCAGTTTCCTCACAACCTATGGAATATAATGTTTATGATGAATAATATGTTATACAACGTACTTCAATAAATCGACAAAATCTTTTACAACTTGAGATGGAGGGTAACAAAGATTTAGGTTGACTGACAATGATGAAGTTGTTAAGATCAAACAAAAGTTAACTATTTATATAATAATAGAATGAATATTCGAAGGAATAAAGAAAAAACTGATGTATATGTATACATATAATGGGAGGGGATTGTACACGGTGTCATTCTAAACTTTGTAAAATGGACATCAGTAAACGTAATGGAAGATCAACAGGTTTTCATTATGTTGAAAAAAAGATGAATACAATTCAGAAAGTGAGATTAGGTTTTGAAATTGATCGAAAAATAAAGTGCAAAAACGGTCAGGTCGTTAAATCTTATACTTATAAATTTAGGAGATGACATTTATCAAGCTAATAGAAGATTGGCAACAGTATCCGTCTGAATACGTAGATCAGGTGTGAGTCTTTTGATTGCAACTGCTTCAGTAAACCGGTAGAGATTCGGTTTACTTTGTTCATTGATCACTTTGTATTACTTGAATATATCGACTTTATGTCCATTAACAAGCGTATACCGAAAGATTGCACTATTTCTTATCTCTTATCCAATGTTCATTCTACCACCGTACAAATAATTAACCTTTTATTAGTCTTAACAGCTTCATTAGTCTTGGTTGTATATTGTGTTCTCTGAGCTAGGTTGTTTAGTCATGAAGCTATTATTGTCTTTCTAGACGACATCTTCAGCACTGACTTCAGTATGAAGTGAGCTGTCAATATCTATCCGTGAGTTATTTAGTAGCTTGCTCTGATGAACTGGTTCGTCGGGCTCCATGACTAAGCAATGCAACTTAGAGAACACAATACAACCAAGATCATCCACCTGAGCTACAAATATTTTCCACCATTTCAACTGCATCAATGTCAGTCAACCTAAATCTTTGTTACCCTCCATCTCAAGTTGTAAAAGATTTTGTCGATTTATTGAAGTACGTTGTATAACATATTATTCATCATAAACATTATATTCCATAGGTTGTGAGGAAACTGAGGAGAATCTACGAAATACAAGCATATTAATTCTGCTAATATTGTCCTTGCTTTATTCAAACTTGTGAAAGGGAAAAATTATATGAAATAACTATTTTTATGATTTTTAAGAACTTCGTTAATAGTGCATCTATGTTTGGTGTGAGGCCTATTGCTTAATAGCATTGTTGGTATACGAAGATATATATTTTTAAAAGACTAAACTTTCGTGAAACCGCCCTTATCTGGCTTGCTTTCTGAAACTAATTAAATTACATGATACGTGAAAGCTCAAAGTCAGTGATAAATAATGAAACCATTATAAAAGTCATGTAAGAGTATAACTTTTTAAGTCTACAATCCTTCCAGGATATCAATGAATTTTCATTAGATGCAGATAGTTTTAGTAGTATCACAGCAAATATGTTGCAAGACGTCAATATATCTTCAATTTTTTCAACTCATACTTTGACCTTAGTGAATTTATTGACTATCTGTTTAATTTGAAACAATTTTTCTCTTTTTCATCACTTCTTATTTATACATGCATTTCAATACTGCTGTAGAAAGGTCAAAACCTTGACTTCATCCATTTGACAGAAATTCGTATTATTCTCCTACATAGAAAATACGTCAAAAACTGTCAAAGAGGACTGGGTGAGATATTTTTTATAGCTTAATAACAAGGCAGTTTACACGAAAGATTTGGCATATGAGCATCGTCTAACAAAACCTACTAATCTTCTAATTAATCCTTATTGTATGTGTTTTGTAACTTGGCGCCTGATATTTAACACTGAAATGCTGCACAACCCAGAGTCATTTTATTCGGTTTGATGATAAACTTAATGAACAACTTTCACGGAATGCCAAACACCTGTGACTTCACAGCTACATCACCTGCACCCTTATACGTTTTTATATACAACTCAATCGCCTTTCGAATAAACCACAATTTAAAGTTTCGAGAGCTTTCGCGTACTTATTAAGAGTATTCATCATCGTTTCTAATCTGATTAAGTTTATTCTCACATTTGATTGAAACGAAAAAATCGCGCCATACCTCATTGGTTTAGGTAACTGACTTTCAATCAATAGGTTCCGGGTTCGTACATCACTCCAACTACCAAGGTTTAGGCAACCAAGTAGTATCATTCACTCTCACTGAATAGGTTTGGTTTATTACCAACTACACAGATGTGCAAGCGTTTGTTAAGTGTATTTCGATTCCACATTTGATTAAAGAGTATTTTATATATTCACTCATGTACATTTTATAGTCCTAAAAGGAGCCAATCGAAGTCCAAATGAGTCAGTAGCTAAGTATCTGGCATCAGCGCTCAATGAATCAGGTTCAAGTCACCGAACGAACATCATTTTCCTCGTATCTAAAAATACGCCTTGCTGATGGATGTCGGCAAGTCCCCAAACTAGGTTCATGGTTTTCTGCTGATTGGCTAATGTCATTTGGACATATTTACTTTTGTGGTTAACAACGAAAGTAAATGAACAGAATTTAATAAACAGCACTTTTACTGATCTAAGTTCTAAGCCTGATTGAACAGATGAGAATACTATTATGAATATTCATTAGTGTAAGAGGGGTTCTAGGAGGAACAGTATCTTACTCATTGGTGTTTACAGACAAACACATAATCAGAATGTACGTGCTATAATACACTCAGCTGACGACAGTTGAATATGACTTCAATCAAATTTCAAAAATAAGTTTCAAAAGCCTGACCAGCGCAGTAGGCTCATTTTTCGTATGTATCTACTATGCAACAAGTTCAAATTTCCTTGGTCTGACAGTTTGAAGATTATTTAAAATACTAGTGGTGAGTCCAGCTAGCAAAGAATACACAACATGTGCATATCATTCAATGGTAATTGATTGTGTAGTTCTAAAGTGAATCTTATCAGGTAGCGCATATTTAACTGTTAGAAAACTTGGAAGGCGGGAGGAAAAACCAATTTTTCACAGAAATGTGGTAGACAAATTTATGTTCAGATTCCGTTTCCAACGGTTTTGGTTATCATAAAGGCAGTTAGTAAAATCCAAATTGGGTGGAATTTTTTGCATACAGATACCAGTCTAAGTTGATAGATAATAGATAACTAGATAGAAAGTGACTGAAATCTCACAGTGAGATTCACATTTAACATCACACTACGCAATGAATAATAGAAGAAAATTGAAACTTGAATTTTCTAACTAGTCACAATAATGTCCTATTAAAATGCAGTATTTTTGGTCTATGATATCAAAGGAAAAAGTGATAGGAACAAAAAATTACTCATTTTCGTGAATCTAATAACTTATTGTCATTGTAACAAGGCAATAAGAGTTAATTTGTCTCAATCACGTGATTGACTTGCGCAACACATTTCAAACAGTCTATTCACACATATACTTGTGATAGATATTTATATGAAAGGTGAAAACGAGATGAGGCATGATAATTTGAAAAGAAATCATATAGGCAGGCTAAATGGTGGTTCATACTTGCTCCGTACAGTCTACCTAAGAAACATGCTTTCATCAGGCTTGGGTACATGGGTGATTTTTATAACTCACTCCGTAGGCATAGATTTAACACTGATACTTGAAGGACATACTATGCAACCACGGTGAGATTAACAAAAACTACTAAACTAGTATATTCTCTTAAACGTTTCCAGCGTGAGGAAGATAACGTCCTGCTGCAATACATCTACCAACGTAAATAAGTGTTCTGACAGATAAGGTAGTTGGAATTCATATTCCAATTCAAGTAACGGTTTCAAAGCGTATTTCAAAGTTGTTTTAAAAGCACATCGAATCACCTGTACCTATAAGCATTGGTAGCAGAGGTTCTATCTCTTCAATGGCGAAACGTTGTTATGACATACCAGAGGACTGACATTTACAAAAGATTTTTGGGACGGATCCTTAAATTTGTTGAAGCCTTTGCCATCAAGAAGCTTAAGCTACCTACAATTTTTCAGAAATAACTTATCACATCGAACATTCCTCTGTTAATTCATCTATGAAACCAAGTTCGATGCACCATTATTCTGTTCATTTATTTTCACTGCAATTTTGACCTACCTAGTTGACCTTTTTCATGTTCTCACCCTTTTGTCTTTGTATAATCTCACATTACAAGCATACCTATGGTCAGATGGTTTTAAATGTCTTGCGCAAACACGGTACAAGACTCAGAGAGATTACATTCTTATTGTTTTGTCGAATTTTATGAAGCAGCCCAACTATTTTCACTAATTGCTTCATTTAAGTTATAAAAAGACAGAATAATAGTTATGGCACACTGAAAGATAATGTTATTACATCTAGTGCTATATTTTAGGGCTGAAGGTGACCAACTACTTAGTGACCTTTTTTATTCGCTAAATATTGGTGATTGAAATACTGGCTTATCTTGACGTTTCCAGCCTCACGGAAACTCAGAACCGTAGTCTGAATACCGCATAATGATCTGTACTTGACTATCTGATTCACACGTTTTGCCATCAGAACCCTCCATTTATGAACATCATAATCTAAGCTCTTTTGCGATTTAATAAGCATGTTGAAACTCATTTATTGAATTTTTTAAAATCCCGGTTTATATGAAGACAATTTTGAAGCTAAAAGATTTGAGGTCAAGTTAGAGACAAATAACTTTTTTCAAATGGACAGTCATATGATACCCAGATCGTAAATTATATTTACTCAAGGTTGCTTGAATTTTCAGAAGTCAACTAAGAGGGGTATTTACCATGAGCTCCTTTTAGTTTATAGTTAAGATTTTTTAGGTTTTATGAAAAAGGGACGATATGGATACTTACACTAACATTGAATAAAAGTGACGTACTTACTGCCTAACGAAATTGCCTGCCCGATCAAAAGTGGTCATTCTTGAAGTAAAAATCATACTGGAACATTCAATTTTCTGCACAGAATGCCTAAGATGCCTAGACTTAATGCGGCATAATGAGAGATCTCATTTATAGCGCATAGGTAGTTTTACGTGATGCTACAAGAAAGGCATAACTTATAGTCATTATTTTATTGGTTCAGATAATTTTAAAAATCAAGTTATGAAGTAGAAGTTATCAATGGTTTTTTTCTGGCTTTTAGTAACTTCTACCTTGTGAATATTTTCTGTGGCAGAATTAACATTAACAATTACACAAGAAAAATTAACAAACTATGAACCTCCTTTGCAATCTCTATAAACTGTTCAGCAAAAATAGTTCATTTTCCAGCCTTTTCTAAAATAATTCAGTTACAGATAAACGTTTTCTTCTTCGAGTACTACAGATCAGAGTTCAAGGTTAAGGTGTGGCACAAAGAATAAAATAATTCACACAGCTCTCAGTTTTCATCACTTTGATGGTGAGAATGTATTATTCGTTTGCAAAGGCTCCACAGGCAGCTTTCGTGTTCTGTATCTGTCCTCTACGTATTAGGAAATCAACTTTAGTGAAATCATCAGTGAAGCATTCAACGATATTTCTCAATGTAAAGATTAATTTTTCTACCGGTGATTTCAATTGTTGTACAAAGAAGTACTGTGGACAATCAGCTATTTTGGCATTATTAAAGAGTTAAGGCGTTCATCCAAACTGTCTACTGTATATCTTTAATTTATCTAAATAGTTGACCATTTATTAAGAGAAATCAAGTGCTTAATCTATTCAACCGCAATCTTATTCTCAGTAATCTATTAAAACTGACATTTGTCAACTTACGAGCTAACACCATCTAATGTTTAGTCGCTTGTATGCATTTGATATCTGATATTATATTACAACCCAGCACTTACCCAATTTTTTCTAGAATCAGTTTGTCTTGAAACTTTATCTTGAATGCTCAGAGAAATGTGATTTATCTAAATTTAGGACAACGTATAAATGGGCGACAAAAACTAAGGCAGTTAGCTTTAATCGATTATACGACTATTTTTCTTAGTTATCTCACTTTCTCCCTTTTCAAATATATGAATATGCATAACGTTTTTTGTTTCAACTAAAATAATTTACATGTAAAATGATATTGATGAATGCGTTTCTGGTTTCAACTGCTGACGTTTAAGCCTCATAATTGTTTTCAGAGTGCTAGACATTTAGCTGAGAAGGAAAGAAAAACGGTGGACTGAGAGACAAGTAAATAGTAG